ATTCCTGAAGCCTTGATTTTGGCTAATGCCTTCAGTGAATGTTGAACTTCTTCCTTCAGTACCATTGTTTCTTGATCATATGCTATATCTTGAAATTGTTGCATGTTGTCAACTTATTTTTGATACAGTGACAATGTACATCCTCCCATCTTCTTTTGATGCTTCCTGAATTTTTCAATATTTGCTTATAGAATATTTCAATATTGAAACTTGAGCTTGAGTGTTTTTTTCCAGTTCTTTCTATTTAAGATATGCTGTTTAAGATATTCCCTTTTGACTTTCTAACTCTAATTCACTGCAAATATTATTAATTTGACTTTGTCTTCTCAAGCTGCCCTTTGAAATATTCTACTCTGCTCTTTCATTTCATCATTTCTTCCATTTGCTTTAACTATAAGATTAAGAGGAATTTTCAGTCTCTTGTGACATTCACTTTGATCTTTTCTTTCTTTCTGTGTACTTAGTGAACTTTTGCATTTGTTATGAATGATGTTCATGAATTTCCTCGCATAGCTTATAGCTGTTCAGTCATTAGTGTTTCTAGTGCACTAATCAGAGCCAAATACCTTTTTAATGTCACGAAGCAAAGCCAAATAACTCTACACAACCAGCACCTCACACACTACTAATAGAAGTATCTTGGTGAGGAGGAAATAGCAATCAAGCACAAGAAAACAAGAAAAACAAACACAAGCATTCAAAATTTACCCAAAAAAGCACTGGAGTACTCTGAACAAGAGGCCATAAAACTACCAGGCAAAATTCAGAAGAATTATGTTCAGGTCCTTTCAAGAGATATGGTGAGCACTCTAGAGAACAATGGAAGAAATTTAAAGACTAAATGTCAAAATAAATCCTAGAAGACAAACAATGCAATAACAGAATTAAGCAACATATTAAAATAACTGAGGAGTAGAATTTAAGAAGAGGAAAATAGAATTTGTGAGCTCAGAAACAACTATTTTGACTATAATCTGAGAGAAAGCATCAATTTTAAAAAAGCACAAAAATCAGAAGAAAGTCTGAAAATGATGTGGGATACTATCAAGAGATACAACCTTTATATCATCAGTATCCCAGAAAAAAGAAGAAAAAAAAAACTACAGAGAAAATAGAATGACAAAATATTGAAGAAAATTTCCCACACATAACAAGAGGGGAAAATAACTTTTCAAAAAACAGAGTCCCCCAAAAAATGAAAGAAAAAGAAACTGAGAGAACATCAAATAGGATAGTTCCCAAAGGAAGAACCTCATAACACATCATATTCAAACTATTCCATTTCAAGGGGAAAAAGAAGAATCCTGGGTAAACTAGAGAAGAAAAAAAACCAGTCAGCTACAAAGGAAAATTTATATGATGATCTCTGACTTCTCAGCAGAAATTATGCAGGCAAGAAGACAATGGGGTGAGATGTATAAAATTCTGAAAGAAAACAACTCCAAACCAAGAAAACTATCATTTTAATTTGAGGGAGAAGTAAAGTTATTTACAGATAAGGAAAAGCTAAAGGGATTCTTTAAAATAAGACCAGTGTGGCAGAGTAGTTACAAGGTGGGCTGCAATCTGAAAGGTCAGCAGATTGAGACAACCACCTACTCCAAGAAATAAAGACAGGACTTTCTACTCTCAAAATAGTGCAGTCTCAAACAACCACAGCAGTAGCTCTACCCCATCCTATAGGGTTGCTATGAGTGACATCAATTTGCGGTAGTGAGCTTGGTTTGTGAGCTTTTATGGACAGAGAATCAATAAACAGAGGACATTGATGAGAGCATATGTAAGAACAACACCATCTAGAAATTAATATGATGAAAACAGCACTCAAAACAACACAGAAATAGAGAGAAAAAGACACCAATAAAACCACAAAAAAAGGAAAGTGAACCCCCATAAAAACACGCAGCAAAATGACAGCAAACCCGCCTCCATCAATACTGACAATGAATGAGAATCTCAAATCCATAGGTCCCTCTTCAATCTCTTACAATTTTCCATCTTGTCTGACTCCGTGGTGAAAATCTGGCTAGATCTGGAAGATGAGATGACTGGTGCTAGAAAATGTTCTTCTCTTATTTTTCAGCTTGGGGGATATGTCTAGCTACTGTAAGAAATGCTCTACACACCCCAGGTATCATCTCAGTAACTGGTATGTCTGGTCTATAAAAGATCTCTACTAGCACTCTACCCCAATGTGTCTCTAGAGAAAGAACTGAGGCACACGGCCTTGTCCCATAGGAGGTTGTCAATCAGTGATCACGCATGTTTACTAATGAATGCTCAAAAATCCAATCTGTACCCACTTTATCCAGAGTGAGGCTATATTAGTCAGGTTTGCCAAATTGGGCACTCATGCCTCAGAACACAAAATGAGCCGGCACTCACAACTGCCATTTTACAATTATTATATTCCCAAGTTCACAAACCTCTGCCCAGTTCCTCATTGACTGAAAACCATGGGGAGAATAATCTTTCCCAGATGCCACCTACTTCCTCAATTTAAAGTTGCCACCTCTGGAGCAGAGTCCCTTCTCCCACCCCTCCCTGGTTGACACAATACCATTCCCCCCATGCCTGGGTTCTAGTGATTGTCACATCAGCTAGCAAAGTGTGTCTGGCTACTTAGTAACTTTTTAAGTTGGTCTTTTGTTTTCTTAATTGCTAAAGATGGATCAGTATGGGATTTATGTCTCACACGATTGTCTAGGAGCTGAAATCTTCCCCCAGCCGACATCTGTAAGGTCCAATTAGGATAGAATTGCTTTCTTTGTGTGTGATATTGACTTTCTTCTGGGTTTCTGTACTGACCTTCAGAGCAAGTTGCTGTTTCTTTGTGCTTGTTCTGAAGTTTAAAAGTCTTTCTGTTCTTTTGCTCTACACCGAGGATGTTGTAAGTCTGAAAGGGAGAAGAGAACATTGGATTTGAATGCTTTAAAATGGATTTAGTTGACTGTATTTGTGTTAGGCTGGGTTGACTACAGGAACAAATCCAGTGACACATATATGTATAAGAAAGAGCTTTATATCAAGAAGCTTTATATAGCAGGAAAACACCCCAATCCAGTCCAACTCAAGTCCATAAGACCCTCTTCAGACTCACACAATCACAAGCAATAAAACTAAACGCAGGAATTTCACAGGCCCGTGGGTGCAAAGTCTTGTGGATCCAATAGTGGTGGATGCATCTCCAGGGCTCTGACAGGTCTCAGAGTTGCTTGCTGGCAGGAAAGTGAAGTCAGAGTGAGAAGAGGAGGTTCCTAGAACCCTTCTTATGATAAAGCCATGACCCCAAAGATGTACCATCAGGCTGTGGCCTGATTGACAGGCTAGACTCCACCCCTACACTTTTATATATTAAGTTGGCATGAAATTACGTGACTATCACAGTATCTTTGGGTAGAGAGAAAAGTAGCCAGTTAGTGCAGTCTGTTTAGTTTCTG